AAATATGAAAGAATGCTAAACTACAAATTTGATGTCATGTCTGAATAACAAAACTACCTATTCAAAAGTATTAACGAAGCATACATTTTTTGTATGACAAAAAACAAAAACAAAAAAACAACAGTAATAAAAAATCCGCAAAAATATTTCACTTAAATTTCTCACAGAGACACAAATATACTAATACACTAAATTTTGTTGCCCTGGCAATATTACTTCTAATTCCTACTTTGAAAACTATTTGTGCTACACGAGTCTTCCTTGTTCATAAAGGTTCGCATATACATAAACATAGATATGTACACACACACACATACATATATGTAAGTATATGCACACGCTGTGGTATGAATATGGGCAGCACATTCACCAACTGTACACCACCCCCGCGCCTCGCCCGTTCCGTACCGTTCCTCGGCCGGTGCGGGACTATAACCAGGACGGAATGGGAGTATTGGCAACTCACGCCCACTTCCAAGCGCCTCTGTCATTACATTTCTATATCTATTGGTTATTCATCAGTTTCTCTCATGTCATAAATGGACCACCTCATTGGCAAATTCACAAGGATATAACCAAAAAGCATCAGTTACTGCGTATATCTTTCAGTACCCTGAGTATTGTAGGATGAAAATTAAACCCACAGGCTGAGTAGTGCATAGAAGTTAGCCATATATATATATATATATATATATATATATATATATATATATATATATATATATATTATATATATATATATATATTATATATATATATATATATATATATATATATATATATATATATATATATATATATATATATATTATATATATATATATATATATATATAATATATATTATATATATATATATATATATATATAATATATATATTTATATATAATATATATATATATATATATATATATATATATATATATATATATATATATATATATATATATATATATATAATATATATATATATATAACAGTAAACCCACAATGCACAAACTAGATTTATTGAGGAAAGTTTGTGCATTGTGGTTTTTCTTCCATAGTATCTACACGGTAGTGTGTTTTTCTATTCATATATATATATATATATATATATATTATATATATATAATATATATATACATATATATATATATATATATATATATATATATATATATATATATATATGGTATGTATATATATATATATATATGTATATATATGTATATATATATATATATATATATATATATTATATATATATGTATATATATATATATATATATATATATATATATATATATATATATAATATATATAGTAAATTCTTTTGTACCCAGAATATACATTGGATGACTTCGTTATCTTTTTACAGATAAGATGTATTTTCTAATCAATGAAGAGGACGATATGAAAAAGTAAAAGTGCACATACTCTTCGTTTGATCCTGTTTAATTTTGTATATTATCCATAGGCAAAAAGAAATATTTGTTTCGGTTCAAACAAGCAAATAATCTTCATTTTATAATACTTTTTCATGAAACTGAATGAAATTAGTAACCTAGCCCCCAAACTTCAAATATCTTAGTTCAATTCAGATTGGTTAGATGTGCGAAGTCCAGCTTGGCCCGGGCCTTTTCTCATTGCCTGGGGGTAGGGCAGCTATTTCTTTCAATTGTTTTCTTATAACTGAATTTTTAGTGTGAAGGCTGGATTGCTAGGTGCTCCAGTCGCCACGGCGAAAGCATAAGGCATAATCCTTTTACCAATCCTGCTTCTGTGGTGGGAGGATCCTGTCTCAAAAATTGTGTGTGCTCACAAAATTGTGTGGCGTTTGACTTGCCGCAATACTTGGATCCCTGTCGACCACGTCAATTGCATCAATAATTTGCCATGTATAGTGGTTACCTAGTCTTGGTCAGTGCAGTGAGACTTCGGCACCTCTATTTATTTTTTGAGGAAGTGCCAGTGGCCTGTGGCGTCTAAGTACCATCTGGCTTAAGGCGAGTTTGTGTATCTGTCAGAGAAGAGCAAGCACCCCAGCGTAGGACTTGTGGCTCAATACATTTTGGATAGTGTTGACTTTCATGGAATTTGCGGGCATGCCCTCCCCTGTTCGGCTAGTCTGTCAGTAATGTCTATGTGGCCTGGGAGTCAATTTATGATTTCTCCTGAGCAAGGATCCTCAGTGCTATGGTGAGGACAGTGGTCAGGATGTAGATGGACATGCTGTGTTGTGCACAATCAATGGCTGATCTAGAGTCTGTATGTATGATAACGTGTCCTTTCCTTAGGGACATGTGGTCTGGAGCTCCCATGATTGCAACTGTCTTTGCTTAGAGTAAAGCATCGTCAGTGACCCTCATGGATGTTGGGTTTCCCTTGCTGCTTGGGTTAATGATCATGGAGGTTGGGGAAATGCCCCATGCCCTTTTCGGCTAGTCTGTCAGCAAGCCCATTCCCTTGGATGCCTATGTGGCTTGGGACCCAGTTTATGATTATTCTTCTACCCTGATCTAGGATTCTCTGGGCTATGGTGAGTACAGAGGTCAGAAGGTAGTTGTCTTGGGGGTATTAATGTTTTTGGACAGGCTAGCACTAATGGTTGTGGACAGGCTGGCATCAGTGTTTCTGGACAGGCTTACAACAATGTAAGCTGGCACTAATTTTGTGAACAGTGTGGTACTAATGTTTGTGGAGAGGCTGGCACCAGTGTTTCTGGACAGGCTGGCACTAATGTTCTGGACAGGCTGACACTAATGTTTGTTGACATGCTGGCACTAATGTTTGTGGACAGGCTGGCACCAATGTTTTTGGACAGGCTTATACCAATGTTTGTGGAGAGGCGGGCACTAATGTTTGGGGACAGCTTGGCAGTAATGTTTGTGGACAGGCTGACAGTAATGGTTGTGGAGAGGCTGGCACCAATGATTTTGGAGAGGGTATTACCAACACTAACAGACAGACTTGGGCTAATATCTTTGGACAGGCCGGCGGCAATATGTTTGACGTTTCTGATAAGCTGGCAATGTTTCTGGACAGGCTAGCACCAATGTTTCCAGACAGGCTGGCACTAATTTTTCTGTACATTAAACGTACACGCAGAATCTCTCTCTCTCTCTCTCTCTCTCTCTCTCTCTCTCTCTCTCTCTCTCTCTCTCTCTCTCTCTCTCTCTCTATATATATATATTATATATATATATATATATAATATATATATATATATTATATATATGTTTATATATGTATGTATAGATAAATGTTTATATTCATATTTATATATGTGAGTTTGTATATCCTTATATGTATGTATATATGCATGTATGTATGCGCGCGCGCACGCGCACACACACACACACACACACACACACACACACACACACACACACACACACACACACACACACACACACACACACACTCATGCATGTATGCTGTATCTATATATGTGTACACGCACACGCATAGTTTGATAGGCAGATGTACAGTACATTCATTTGCCGAGTTAGAACCATTTTTTCATACATCATCTATGAAACTGATTTACAAGATTGTTTGGGTTGAATTTTATCTTAATAGCCATCATATGATACAGCAGCGAGACTTTTTGATTAGCCGCATGTAAATACACGTTGGACAAAAGCAGCGTGTTTTTATTTCCCTTAGACTTTAATGAGAGAGTAAGGGCCACAGTCTTCAGATGATTGTTCTGAGCGCGGGTGCACCGACACGCGTGGAGATTGTTCCTTATTTTGTTCTCTAATGAAGCAATACGATCCCTGCCTGAGTAGTAAGGTGATTGAATAAAATGATAGTATCAATCTACATTGCAGAAGCATTTATTGAGTTAGATATTTGAAAAAAATAAAACACAAATAAGTAAACAATCATAAACGCCACCACCTAATCAATGGTTTATTTAGATAGCAAATAAATATAGGTCAGTTTTGCTTGAAATTTTCAGAAATTGCACTACATCACACAAATTAAAATCTGATAACTGATGTACATTAGAACCAAATCTAATGTAGAGACGACAACGCAGTGCTTATATATATATATATATATATATATATATATATATATATATTATATATATATATATATATATGTGTGTGTGTGTGTGTGTGTGTGTGTGTGTTGTGTGTGTGGATAATGAACTTCACGACCAGTGTTAATAGAAAAACAAGCATTTTCTTTCTTCTTTAATCCAACAAAACTGGTATCTTCATTGAACAAAAACAGTTCTTCCAACATCAAAATCATACGTTTCGAGTGTTCAACACCCATCTTCAGTGATGACAAGAAAATAACTGTAAAGGATATAGGGAACATTATCCTTCAGTTTACAAAAACTATATTTACAAAACAGTTAAGATAAATCATATCACTAATAGTATTTACAAAACATGAAAAGGAGATACGAATCACTAGTATAAAGACTTTACACTATATATCAAGATAATCGAACTTCCCAGCTGGAAGTTCCACGACAACTTACTATAAGAAAAAGGTATGGCGATCAAGTGTTAAAAATTTATAGAAATTACCAGAAATTTACCTTCAAAGAAAACAAAGTTCTTGATTTAGTTTTTTAAAAAGAATGTCAAAAACATAGACTTATCCCAAATTTTCTAAGGCCTAAATTATGGAAAATATATAGAATTGATAATAGAACTTGTAAATCTTTTCAAACCAAACTCTTAGAAGCTGAAATCAAAGTTAAAACTAAAGAATCTAAAAATTATAAGTACAAAGTCAACCAACTGGAAAATGAATTAAAACAAAACACCTCATACTTCGATTTCAACCATCTGAGATGTTGCACCGAATTTTGCAACTCACAATCTTTGAAAACTGTCGAAAGGGTTCATGAAAAGAAATTTCAGTTAGGTTGGAACAAAAATAGGGAAACTTTGGATCCAAATAAGGTGGTGTTTAATTATGCAAATATAAATGTGTCTCAATATGCTAAATCTTTACTAGCTAAAGGTCTGAAATATTGTTTTCCACCC